TAGTGTGTGAATCAGTTGGTTGTAGTGTGGCTGTGGACGTGGAACGTGGAACGTGGGGTTGAGATCTGGATGTGAAGTTGTGCTGTGGCTGTGGACGGGGAGACGTTGAGTATCTTGTTATTTTATGTTGTAGACTCCATTTGCTCTTTTATTATTCTTATTACTGTATACATTTATATTAAACATCTTATTGTTATTATTATATTTATATAGTGTTAGTTGTCTTTGTTTGTCGCTACATATATATATACCCTAGATTCCAGAACCCAACAGGGACCACAGGTGGATGGTGTGGACCACAGGTGGATGGTGTGGACCACAGGGGTGGATGGTGTGGACCACAGGGGTGGGTGGTGTGGACCACAGGGGTGGATGGTGTGGACCACAGGGGTGGGTGGTGTGGACCACAGGTGGATGGTGTGGACCACAGGTGGATGGTGTGGACCACAGGTGGATGGTGTGGACCACAGGTGGATGGTGTGGACCACAGGGATGGAGGGTGTGGACCACAGGGGTGGACGGTGAGGACCACAGGTGGATGGTGTGGACCACAGGTTTGATGGTGTGGACCACAGGGATGGAGGGTGTGGACCACAGGTGGATGGTGTGGACCACAGGTGGATAGTGTGGACCACAGGTGGGTGGTGTGGATCACAGGGGTGGATGGTGTGGACCACAGGGGTGGATGTGTGGACCACAGGTGGATGGTGTGGACCACAGGTGGATAGTGTGGACCACAGGTTTGATGGTGTGGAACACAGGGATGGAGGGTGTGGACCACAGGTGGATGGTGTGGATCACAGGTGGGTGTTGTGGATCACAGGGGTGGATGGTGTGGACCACAGGGGTGGGTGGTGTGGACCACAGGGGTGGGTGGTGTGGACCACAGGGGTGGGTGGTGTGGAACTTAGGGGTGGGTGGTGTGGACCACAGGGGTGGGTGGTGTGGACCACAGGGGTGGGTGGTGTGGAACTTAGGGGTGGGTGGTGTGGACCACAGGGGTGGGTGGTGTGGAACTTAGGGGTGGGTGGTGTGGACCAAAGGTGGGTGGTGTGGACCAAAGGTGGATGGTGTGGACCACAGGGGTGGGTGGTGTGGACCACAGGTGGATGGTGTGGAACTTAGGGGTGGGTGGTGTGGACCACAGGGGTGGGTGGTGTGGACCACAGGGGTGGGTGGTGTGGAACTTAGGGGTGGGTGGTGTGGACCATAGGGGTGGGTGGTGTGGACCACAGGGGTGGGTGGTGTGGACCACAGGGGTGGGTGGTGTGGAACTTAGGGGTGGGTGGTGTGGAGCACAGGGGTGGGTGGTGTGGACCACAGGGGTGGGTGGTGTGGAACTTAGGGGTGGGTGGTGTGGACCACAGGGGTGGGTGGTGTGGAACTTAGGGGTGGGTGGTGTGGACCAAAGGTGGGTGGTGTGGACCAAAGGTGGATGGTGTGGACCACAGGGGTGGGTGGTGTGGACCACAGGGGTGGCTGGTTTGGACCACAGGGGTGGATGGTGTGGACCACAGGTGGATGGTGTGGACCACAGGGGTGGATGGTGTGGACCACAGGTGGATGGTGTGGACCACAGGGGTGGATGGTGTGGACCACAGGTGGATGGTGTGGACCACAGGGGTGGATGGTGTGGACCAAAGGTGGATGGTGTGGACCACAGGGATGGATGGTGTGGACCACAGGTGGATGGTGTGGACCACAGGGGTGGATGGTGTGGACCAAAGGTGGATGGTGTGGACCAAAGGTGGATGGTGTGGACCACAGGGGTGGATGTGTGGACCACAGGGGTGGATGGTGTGGACCACAGGTGGATGGTGTGGACCACAGGGGTGGATGGTGTGGACCAAAGGTGGATGGTGTGGACCAAAGGTGGATGGTGTGGACCATAGGTGAAGGGTGTGGCCCACAGGTAGGTGGTGTGGACCATAGGTGGATGGTGTGGGCCATAGGTGAAGGGTGTGGCCCACAGGTAGGTGGTGTGGACCATAGGTGGATGGTGTGGGCCATAGGTGAAGGGTGTGGACCACAGGGGTGGGTGGTGTGGACCATAGGTGGATGGTGTGGGCCATAGGTGAAGGGTGTGGACCACAGGTAGGTGGTGTGGACCATAGGTGGATGGTGTGGGCCATAGGTGAAGGGTGTGGACCACAGGGGTGGGTGGTGTGGACCATAGGTGGATGGTGTGGGCCATAGGTGAAGGGTGTGGCCCACAGGTAGGTGGTGTGGACCATAGGTGGATGGTGTGGGCCATAGGTGAAGGGTGTGGCCCACAGGTAGGTGGTGTGGACCATAGGTGGATGGTGTGGGCCATAGGTGAAGGGTGTGGACCACAGGGATGGGTGGTGTGGACCACAGGGATGGATGGTGTGGACCACAGGTTTGATGGTGTGGACCACAGAGATGGATGGTGTGGACCACATGTTTGATGGTGTGGACCAAAGGTGGATGGTGTGGACGACTCTGGATGGATGTGTGGACCACATGTGTGGGTGGTGTGGACCACATGTGTGGATGGTGTGGACCACAGGGGTGGAGGGTGTGAACCACAGGAATGTATATTGTAAACATCAGGCCCAGAAGAAGACACAGTTATATCAAAGTGTCATCAAAAGACCGCAGGTGAGCGGGGTTCCGTGGTCTGACCCTGGAGCGACATCGGTGTTAGAATTGGAACATTTCTCGTCGTGGCTTCTGGAATGATCACGAGTGAGAGAAAAAGAGGAAGAGAGAAGATCAATCCAGCTCTGAAATGTAAGCAAATGTAATGTAAACAAGTGAGGTTTATTTTCCAGAAGTTGTCGCCAAGCTTTTCATTCTTTCTTATTTTTCTGCATTACACAAAAACTTTATTTATGTGCAGTTTTTTTAAAAGGTGAATCTAGTTATTCAAAGACAATGTGTAAATACAGGTATCCAAAACAAATGTGAATCCTATCATCTTATAGAAAATGTAAATAAATAAATCCCAATAATTATGTAACTAGATTTAGTTATAATAATTTAGTTAACAGACTGAAATATCTGACCGGGTAATACAAACAAAAATTGTATGCATAAATCTCTGAAAACAACAATTTTTACACATACCGTTTATAAAATATGTTTTTAATTTCGTAGCCCTATCCACATGTGTGAAAACTTAATTTAATTAGCTGCTACTGGCGTTCGTAAAATTCTCTTTTTTCTTCTCTTTCGCTACATTCCAGTTCTCTCTCTCTCTCTCTCTCTCTCTCTCTCTCTCTCTCTCTCTCTCTCTCTCTTCTTCTCTCTCTCTCTCTCTCCTTCTCTCTCGCTCTCTCTCTCTCTCTCTCTCTCTGTTTCCTCTTACGCCTCTCTCCTCTCGCCCCCACCCTTCTGTCTGTCTGTCTGTCTGTTTGCCTGACTGTCTGTGTGTACTTAAATGTGATGATTTCACTTCCTAATTAGTCTTATTCATCAACAATTTCCCAAACTAAATCAACATGCTACGAGAGAGGCAATCAAGATTTAATTCACGTTGAGTAGATCGAGTGGGGGGGGGGGGGGGGGGTTGTCGGGAGTTAATGGGAAGCCTTAAGGCTAAAAGAAAAGGCTTACATTAGGTAAGCCATCAGAATAAACTTACTTGTATTTACACAACATAGATTTAATATTAAATTTTAATCATTTTTTTCGCGACAAGAAAATTTAAATTTTCACCTTAATCCCCAATTTAATTCATAATTTTAATCGTTAACTTAATCCCCTGTTAATCAACGGATCACCAATGTTTTCAGCCATCTCATAAACCAATATTGACTCCCCCTCCCGACACCCTATTAAATGCTCCTCTATAACGTTAGGGTGGGCAGGTGTAGCGTTAACATTTTTTGGTCACCTCTCTATCACTGTGGTGTCGCTGCTAGAGTTCATATCGTGTGATCAGTACTCAACCCTCCACGTGACAACCCCTCCCCGTGTCAACCTCTGCCTGTGGTAAACCTTGCATGTGACAACCCTCCCCCTTGTGACAACCTCACAGTGTCAACCTCTATACCCAAATTCTCTACCCCACTGCTCTAACCCCCTCTTCTAACAACCAGCTTCCCCATCCCCGGTCTACATACCAGCTCCCCCCCCCTCCAGTCCACATACCACTTGGATTCCCATTTATCGCTCCCTACCCACTGGAGCCGTAGTTCCCTCAAAGACGTTTTCGAACATTCGAAATGCAAAGCAGAACCGGAGATGAAATCAAGGAAATCGAGTCACCCACCCACCACCCATATCCCTCCGCCCCCAACAATCACACCCCACACCCCCTCTCCCCATGGGAAAAGTTTCCCTCCCCTCACAAACCCGATTTTTCCCCAGGAACAGCTGACAGACAGAGAGAGAATCCAGTAGTCGATCATAAAATAAAGTCTGGAGAAAATGTTGACAAGTTCTAGCAACTGATGAGGGGAGGGTGCGGGGGGGGGGGGAGTAAAACACTGACATGATACATTTCCCCTCTTATGTTTCTACCGTTGTCTCTCTTTCTACATGAATCAGTAGAATTGTATATTTCCCTTTAAAGCTACATTGTGTGTATAAAGTTGAAATAGACTACTCTCAATGGCAAACTTAGCTTGGTATTTAGGAGGAGTCAGCTGTATTGTGACACTGCGACCAAAACTACATCTTAAAACTTCGTATTTCATCAACTTCGTTAGTAAATGTAAGAAAAAATAACATTAAAAATTTAATCACAAAGCATGTAAACAAAATACATTAAGTTTTGTTTTGTATTTGCAACACCCTTAGCCACTATAGCGCTAACTGTGAATTGAGATGCTTATAAGCCTACGTTAGTTGTATCCCATATTTTGAACCAAGAATGTGAGTTGTGTTTACAGTGGCAAGTGTGTTCGTTGGTGCTGATGGTGTTGGGTGGGGAAGGGTTGCGGTGTGTTTATTGTTTCGATTCATTAGTCCAGTGAGTTGTTGTGAATGTTTTCTCTACGTCATACGTGTGTAGTAGTGTGTAAAAGACAATGTTGACGGCCGTTTGTATAGTGGTTAGTTGAAGAGATTGTTATGAATGTTTTGTCTAGGTCCTAGGTGTTAGTAGTGTGTAAAATATAATGTAGAGGACGATCTGTAAAGTGGTTAGTTGAAGAGATTTTTATGAATGTTTTTTTCTAGGTCCTACGTGTTTAATAATGTGTAAATTATATTGTTGAAGAGATTGTTGCGAGTCAACAACGGAGCAGACTTGTGTGTTCGCGGGAAGTTTTCACCTCTGCTGCAGGTAAAGCTACAGAAGAGATGCTTTTTGTGTGCTTTTGTGAATCTCAAAACGTAAGTGTGATACATTTTTCTATGATTTTGTAATTAAGTTGTTTATGATGCATTTTGTGTGATAGTTATTATTAGTTATGTACTTGACGTTTTATTCGAAGTACCTACTAGTAGATATGTGTACACCGTAGTTCACTTCCAGCTAGTTGTTTCTTTTAACTTAGGATATATTTTATCGTCTGATGGTCATGTCCTTGACAAAAAAAAAATAATTAACTCATTAGTTAAGTCATTAGGTTTGATGAAATATTCCAGCTGAAAGTTTAGTCTCACGGCTTTCGGGTTGTTTGAATTTCCATCAGGTGGATATGTTATCGAATTCTTAAGTTGTAGATGTCTTAAACTCTTAACTGTGTTGTTGCTGCCTCCATGGTCTCAGCCTATTTTGTTGCGCGTTAAAAGGGGGTGGGGGTAATGTATTGGCTAAAACTATTTTTTTATTTATAAATCTTTTTTTGTAAACATGTCTACTGATTTAGTTTAACTAGCTAAGATTTGTAGAGGTTTGGTAAACCTCCAAGTCACAATGAAGACTCCATGTGACAATGAAGACTCCATGTGACAATGAAGACGCCATGTGACAATGAAGACGCCATGTGACAATGAAGACGCCATGTGACAATAAAGACGCCATGTCACAATAAAGACTCCATGTCACAATGAAGACTCCATGTCACAATGAAGACTCCATGTCACAATGAAGACTCCATGTCACAATGAAGACTCCATGTCACAATGAAGACTCCATGTCACAATGAAGACTCCATGTCACAATGAAGACTCCATGTCACAATGAAGACTCCATGTCACAATAATGACTCCATGTCACAATGAAGACTCCATGTCACAATGAAGACTCCATGTCACAATGAAGACTCCATGTCACAATGAAGACTCCATGTCACAATGAAGACTCCATGTCACAATGAAGACTCCATGTCACAATGAAGACTCCATGTCACAATGAAGACTCCATGTCACAATGAAGACTCCATGTGACAATGAAGACTCCATGTGACAATGAAGACTCCATGTGACAATGAAGACTCCATGTGACAATGAAGACTCCATGTGACAATGAAGACTCCATGTGACAATGAAGACTCCATGTCACAATGAAGACTCCATGTCACAATGAAGACTCCATGTCACAATGAAGACTCCATGTCACAATGAATGATAAAATAAGTCCGGTACTCGTATATCTAGTTTTAAAAACCAAGACATGATTTATAAAGGTTTTGAACAACTGATCAACTAGTGCTTGAGAATCTCTAATGTTGCGTATGCTAAGCATGTGAAAGTTTGTTAATTGTTGCATGTGTTTGGCATGTGAACTTCTGTTTCTAGTTCCTTAACTCGTGTAGGTTAAGTTACCTGCCAAAACTCGCCCCCTCCACCCCCCCCCACCCTCTTGAAGTACCGCCCCCAAACTCCAGATTACATCACAGCACTGTAATTGTTGCAGCATGTTCCGCATGTCGGAAATACCGACAGGCATCTGATCACGACTAATTAACCTTAATTTTTTAAAGTGCCGAGAGATCTTTTGATCTCAAACTCGACTTTTCAGTGGTGGAATTGTCTCCCCTCATACACCAACTATTCCCACACTTACCTCCCACTCTCCCACAATCAACCCACACAATCTCCACACTTACCTTCCACTCTCCCACCTTCCCCTCACACTTTCCCCGAAGACTCCGCAGTGTATATTCTATATGTTGTTTTATGTATTGATTACATCAGGGAGCAATATGTTTTATCTCTGCTCCATCCTGATGATATCTCATGCATTGCATGGAATTAGTTTATTTGCTCGGGCCCGTCTACTTCACTAGAGTGATCTATTTTGTCTGAACTGTCACAATGTTTTCTTGTGCGATAGTTTAAATTTACAACTTTTTATCCTTCACCAAATACAACACTCACATATACAATAGCACAATCGTATACTGATACCCTATTATGAGTATATATATATATATATATATATATATATATATATATATATATATATATATATATATATAATGGCTGCTATCCGTCCTCTGGAGTCCTGAGGGAAGGTCCTAGACCTCTAGGCCCACGCCGCTGTAGTAAAGCTGTCAGACATTCACATCATAATATATCATGTTGGGCTCGTGACCAGACCTGGTGGAGACAGATGCAGGACACAACTGGACACAGAATCTCGTGACCAGACTTTGTGGAGACTGATGCCGGACACAACTGTCCCAGGACACAGAATCTCGTGTCCAGCCTTTGACGGCACCTCTGTGTATTCCAGCCGTTACATGGCGCCGAGTCATAGAACTGAGATCTGGTATACAACGTTAGGATGTTATAGAGACCTCCCAGACCAGAAGTTTGGTGTGGTAACAAAGTTGTATTCCTGGATGAATTTTTTGCTAACAAATTTGTATTCCGGGGTGATTTTTTTGGTAACAAAGTTGTATTGCTGGATGATTTAAATTAGGTTCGCCTTGTTGAGAAGGGACCAGAGCTTACGTGCTGGGGTGAGGGGTGGTGTACAGTAGGAGGTGGGGCGGGGGATGAAGATTGTGAAACTCATTTCGTTTGTTAAAGTGTTTCTGTGTTCGGTTGAGTTAGACATAACAAATGTCTGCTATTTTTTTCTGTCTGAGCAACAGCTGGCTCATTATTTGAGGTCTCAGTTGTGTAGTCCCAGGATGTGTATTGGGTAACATTGATGTGCTATGTAAAGGGTGGTAAGTGTGTATATGATATGTCTGGTGTCATCACTATGTCATTGAAGTATATTTGGTCAGGGGCTGTTTTGTTATCTCTAGGTGTTATGTCATATTAGTGGGAATTCAATGTGTAACGTGTGTGTTAATGTGCCATTGTGCCGCTTATGTTTAGGGTTTGCGAAATGTGCATTGGTGTGTCGTTATAAAACTAAAAAGCTGAGACATTAAATTCAATTAGTTTTCCAGCTATAATTACTGTAAAACATTCAGGATTTCTCCTCTAACTGAGGACAGCTATACTTAACTTTCTCTATGGATAATGCAATAGTTCTAAAACCTTCGACAGACTATTTTTAGCAGTGCCAGATTTTTCGCACTTAGCGCGGGGTCCACTTGCCACTCTGGAGGTAACTCTTACAGGATTAACCCGAATAAATCTCGCTCCGGGTTTTAATTTTAAGAGATTTATTCCCCCTCTCTGGTATTGCATGGTGGGTGGGGTAAAGTGGGACTAGATGGTGGATCTTCTTTAGTGGAACTAGATGGTGGATCTTCTTTAGTGGAACTAGATGGTGGGTCTTTTCTACTTGAAGTAGATGGTGGATCTTCTCTAGTGGAACTAGATGGTGGATCTTCTCTAGTGGAACTAGATGGTGGATCTTCTCTAGTGGAACTAGATGGTGGATCTTCTCTAGTGGAACTAGATGGTGGATCTTCTCTAGTGGAACTAGATGGTGGATCTTCTCTAGTGGAACTAGATGGTGGATCTTCTCTAGTGGAACTAGATGGTGGATCTTTTCTACTTGAAGTAGATGGTGGATCTTCTTGATTGGATCTAGGTGGTGGATCTTCTTTAGTTGATCTAGGTGGTGGATCTTCTTTAGTGGAACTAGATGGTGGATCTTCTTTGGTAGAAATAGATAATGGATCTTTGTTTACAGCCAACGCAGATGATGACTGGTCTAGAGCTAAACTATTTAGTGGGGTCTTTCCGAGAACTAAACTAGATATTGAGGTCTTTTCTACAACTTACTTGATCATAAGGTCTTGTCTTGAGCTAAACCAGATGACTTGGCAAGAGTTAAACCACATGAGGGCTTGTCTTGAGCTAAACTAGATGACTTGCCTTGAGCTAAACTAGATGACTTGTCTTGAGCTAAACTAGATGACTTGTCTTGAGCTAAACTAGATGACTTGTCTTGAGCTAAACTAGATGACTTGTCTTGAGCTAAACTAGATGACTTGTCTTGAGCTAAACTAGATGACTTGTCTTGAGCTAAACTAGATGACTTGTCTTGAGCTAAACTAGATGACTTGTCTTGAGCTAAACTAGATGACTTGTCTTGAGCTAAACTAGATGACTTGTCTTGAGCTAAACTAGATGAATTGTCTTGAGCTAAACTAGATGACTTGTCTTGAGCTAAACTAGATGATGGATTTTGTCTAGAGCTAATGAAGAGTGGGGTCGTATTAACAGTGGCATATGGTCATACACGTGTATGTGCGTGCATGAGTGTGTATCTATATGTGAGTATTTTAGATGTATGATCGACATACAAAGGGCATGTAAACAGGAGAAAACACCTACCTCCCCCCCCCCCACACACACACACACTCCAACCCTTGGGTCATCCTTTAAAGACCTTTGATCGACTAAAGGTTGTTTACGTTTAGAGTTTGTTTTCTAACATCTGCCATCTGAGATTTTCTCTGGTAAACTTTCTGGTGATGTAAACTTTCTGGTGATGTAAACTTTCTGGTGAGGTAAACTCTCTTGTGAGGTAAACTCTCTTGTGAGGTAAACTCTCTTGTGAGGTAAACTCTCTTGTGAGGTAAACTCTCTTGTGAGGTAAACTCTCTTGTGAGGTAAACTCTCTTGTGAGGTAAACTCTCTGGTGATGTAAACTTTCTGGTGATGTAAACTCTCTGGTGATGTAAACTGTCTGGTGAGGTAAATTGTCTGGTGAGGTAAAGTGTCTGGTGAGGTAAACTCTCTGGTGAGGTAAAGTGTCTGGTGAGGTAAAGTGTCTGGTGAGGTAAAGTGTCTGGTGAGGTAAAGTGTCTGGTGAGGTAAAGTGTCTGGTGAGGTAAAGTGTCTGGTGAGGTAAAGTGTCTGGTGAGGTAAACTGTCTGGTGAGGTAAAGTGTCTGGTGAGGTAAACTCTCTGGTGAGGTAAACTCTCTTGTACGGACTATACTCGTCCAATGTAAAGCGTGTGAAATAAAACGTTTGAAAATATCTTGTTGCCGGAAATAGATTGGTTTAGGGCTGGAAATTGGGTTGCAATAATTGAAGGTTTTGAAATAATTTCCCTCTATGGTACTAGTAAGTGACTGCTTGGGTGTGGGGTGGGGGACGGAATGGGGTGAGATCTCATTAACATTTCATTTAAATGTAACTGACGGGTGACCCAAAAATTAAAATGTATTGATCTTACACAAAAATTTAATTACAAGAAACAATTAATTAGCTCGGCATTGAGTCAAAAGATTATATTAAATTACATGTTACAATATTCACTCATGAATACCGCTCTACAAGTCATGTGTTCAGTTTTCGACTTCTCTTGGTCGACCTGTGTGCTTAAGTTATTTGTGGGAATTTAAGAATAATTGAGGCGGCTTGTTGCTAATGCGGTCTAAAAACACGAATTAACTGAGACGTTGCCAATAAAAAAAATCAAAACTTTTCTTATCTAGTTTTATTTAGTTTAAAATTGAAAAGCTATGTACTGGGTAAATCTTTTACGGTGGTGTTTTCAATCAATGGAGTCATCGCTGATATGGAAATGTAGTATTCAGACAAATGCTTTGTGTTGGATTGTCAAAATAACGTTTTTATCAGATAATTTTAATTTCAGTTTTTTTCTTTCATTCTTACAGTCAATCAAAAATTGTCCTTTATGTGTTTTTTGTTACAAAAATAGTCAAAAGACCGTTAAATGTGTACATGTTCACACAAAAACCAGGGCCCTCGTCTTACCCACCCCCCTCACACACACAAAACTTGGGGCTATAGAGCTCTTGCCTGACCGAAAATGGGCTATCGGCTATATTAGTTGTCCCCCCAACTAGTTCTTAAGGGGGGGGGGGGATGGGTAAGGACATTAGGGGGCAACTAACGTCACAACTAACAGAATAATTTTAATCCACTCCATAAATATACTCTCATTTTAAATCAAACTCAAAATTCCAAAAATAAAAATGACGACTTCCGCTTGTCCCCCCCCCCCCACCCACCCCCCAACCCCTACCCTATACCAGAATGGAAATGAGATTTCCCGCCGTGCTGGAGACTAATATCTTCATCAAAACCCGTCGTCTGCATCCTGCCGGCCAAAAATGTATGATGTCACTTCCGCTCAGCAAAAGTCGCCAGAAGCCGGAGAAAAAATAATAGACAGTTTCCTGGAGAAATAGAAACGGTAGCGTGGGGGGTGGGTGGTGAGGTGATGGGGGCTGATATTGACACAGCAAATGAAGAATTGTATAGTTAAACAGACGTTCAATCGTCTACCGATAGCACTGTAACATTGGAAGCACAAAAATAATAAGAAACTGCAAGAACCAAAATTCTATTTTAAAAAATTGGAAATTCCAAGTTGTTGTTTTTTTAAGTATATAATACAAGCTAAATTGAGTTCCTGTGGCTAAAAAAAATATTAACTTTTTAAAAATTCCTTTAGATATGAATCTGTGACGGAGGTTAGAAGTTTCCCTGTCTGGGGTTGATACGGTATGACGTATCGAATGTGACATACCCACATTAACGGTGTTTGAAGGTCTGAATTTACATTAAAACAGAATTTCGACATCACCGCCCTCTCTTTACATTAAAACATAGAATTTTGACATCACCGCCCACTCTTCACATTAAAACATAGACTTTTGACATCACCGCCCTCTCTTTACATTAAAACATAGAAATTTGACATCACCGCCCACTCTTCACATTAAAACATAGAATCTTGACATCACCGCCCTCTCTTTACATTAAAACAGAATTTCGACATCACCGCCCTCTCTTTACATTAAAACATAGAATTTTGACATCACCGCCCACTCTTCACATTAAAACATAGAATCTTGACATCACCGCCCTCTCTTTACATTAAAACAGAATTTCGACATCACCGCCCTCTCTTTACATTAAAACATAGAATTTTGACATCACCGCCCACTCTTCACATTAAAACATACAATTTTTACATCACCGCCCTCTCTTTACACCGATATCAAAGCTGTTCTCTTGCCTTGTATTTCCTTTTTTTCTCTTAGTTTTTGAACTGCAATAAAGTAAATTATTGTTTTTCTAATTAAAGATCATCAAAACAGTTGGAAACAAACCAACATATTTTCGAAGCAACCATCAAACTGACAAACGAGTCATTAGAAGAGAAACCTTAACTTTTAATACATGTAAAACTTTCAGCTGAAAAAGTTTGACATGTTATATTTTCAAATCTAAGTCTTAAACGTGTAGGAAAGGGACCTTGACCCTGAGACTACACTTGTCTTCACACAAACCATCCCTAAATGTTTATCTGGCCTATTACATTTGTAACAGAAACTCTTATTTCGTTTATTAGGGCTACCTTTTTTTTTACATAATTGACCCCTCTCTCTCTCTCTCTTCCTGAAATTGTTATACTTTTGAACGTCGGCGTTACCTGGTTACGGCTAGTTACTTTTTATTTAAACCGCTTGACCAGATGGATAAAACTGTTTTACATTTTTTTTAATCGAAATTATCAATACGTTGAATTGATTTTTTGATAGTTTTTTGAGCCGATACAATTAGTAGTAGAGCATTCGATTAACATTGTTATGGGAAGCAGGCTTATATTTACATATGTATACATTTAATGAATATATGCATGCTTATTTCCGCAAATGACCCCCCCCCCACCCCCGCCTTAGCATTCCACCGATTTCGTTTTTTTTTTTTGTGTGTGCCTCAGACATGTAATTTACAGCGTCAGTTTGCCTTGCATGTTCGCTTTAGTATTACAGTTTTCATCATCGGCTTTTTAAGGACTGATGTAATACTTCTTTCTTACATGTATCCTTTCAATCATTTAAGAGGGTTTACTTATACATAGATCTAATATAAAACGTTTAATCCCAATTTCATTTTGAAAAAAAAACAACTGAAAATGAAAATGAGTAATTCGGCTTTGTGGGTTGACGGGGTTTGGGCTTTTAAGTAGAGCTGAAATAAATTTGAGATTAAAGAAAAATAAAATAAAAAAAAATTGTAAGCAACCGAAATATTATGTTGAGTGTAATGAGACACATCAAATCAAACATTCTTGAATCTTCCCTTTTAAACATCTATATCTATAGCAGTCCTCCCACAGATTTTTTAAAAGGCCACGCACATATTTCTAAATAAATGTTCAACTGTCGACCCACACCTCTTTATTTCTTTCATCACATAGGGCGTAGAGATTAATTTGTTTTAATTAGCTCCTATTAAAAATAAATGCACGTGCACGTCAGGTAATACAACTCACCTCTGCACGGCACGTGTAAAAGTATTCCAAACACTCGACACGGCAACTTTTCAACGTTGTGCAATGTTCGATGTACTCAACCCGGGATCCTGCGTCATACTCGTTAGTCTCCCTTTGAGCTTACCACTTAGAGTGAAGTCCCCTTAATGTAGGAGGATTTTCGCCTATCTATTTATAGCCACTTAAGTATCTATTTTTGTCAGGATGAAAGCGGAAGTGCGGCCTGCTGATTGAATCGCGATCAATCGAAGCAGGTTTTTGACATGGCTGGCGGCGCTTTGATGATTGTGTGTCGTCTGCTTGTGCTAGAGTCTTGGTCTGGTTCTGGGACAGCCCGTGTCTTGAGGCTCGTGTTTAACGTGTGTAGCGCCAAGATGGGGGAGTTTAATGGGTGTCAGCACAAAAAGTAATGTTTTGTATAAAGAATAGTAATTTATAGGATATACACATGTATGTACATATGTACTGTGTGTTTGACTCCGAAACCTGACTCCGCTATTGTGACATAGCTGTGCCATTCAAATCAAATGGGACACCGTTCGCCAAACACCTTACATGGTGACTCACCACAAGAACAAATCTAAAGAGAGACCAGTTTTAGTTAAGCTAATCACACATTCACTTAACTGGCTTCCACTCCATTGAACTGTTTCACGCCAACTTACGTCCAACTAACCTGTGCTACACACGACGTAGAGTACCTCATCCAACCCTACTAAACAAGCTACTGCAACAAAAATGTTTCACTTTTTAATATATTTCCTGCTCGTCACCTATCTCTGACCGAATGTCAGCTGTATCTAAGAACTACATTATATCAAGAGTGTACTGAATATCTTGCTATATCAAGGAACAACATATCAAGAGTGTACTGAATATCTGGCTATATCAAGGAACTACATTATATCAAGAGTGTACTGAATATCTGTTATACAGACGTTATACAGAGTCGGACGTTTTAGAATTGTGATCCCCTAAACTTCCAACCCAGCAGGAAAAACAACAATTCCTGTCATTATAGCCACAACGCCTTAAATCACACTTAAAAGCGAAAACTGTTTTCTACAGAACGTGGTTCGGCCTATTGTTCCATCTCCTATAGCAGTGTGCCGGGAATTGGCCAAACTTTGTGTGTGGTGGGGGGGGGGGGGGATATTTCAATTTGTGCTATACAGAGATCAGAGAATGTGAAACGTTTTATTTTGTCTACAGATAGATTTTTTTGGAAATTTCTGGAATAGATGCGCGTCGGTGATAGTATTAGAGATGTAAGAATCTGTTGTTGTTGGCTTTGCCATAGGCGTGTGTGTTCATGCACAGAATTTGCTTTGTCGTGATCTGATATCCGCCTCAGTTTGTGTCTATTTATAGCTGTCTTTGTCAGTTTGTTTGGTCAACATTAACATTTCTAACTCGTCCCTCATTAATTCGTCCCTCGTTAATTGGTCTCAAAATATTGAAATAGATCTGTTTATTCATCCCGTTGTCTCTAGACTTGTTAAAGATCCGGTTATTGATTAACTTGTTAAATATTTTTACTGTGGTGGCAAAACGTTATACCGGGTACCGGTTTAAAGCTGAGCCCACTGACCTCGTCCCAAAAATCGTGCTGCCCATCCTACAACCGTAGCATGCAGAGATCAATGTTTGCAGCAATACTGGAGACAGCCTGGCAATACAGGGAGTTAATTCTTTTTACTAAACCCATCTTTTGATGCCAGTTAACACTTTTTATCAACCCTGTGAAATGTAAACATACATGTAAAATTTGTCTAAACATTGACATCCATTTTGTCTGATGTAAACATTGAGGTGAGATTTGGCAAAGGTAAACAAATGATACCTGTCGTTGCTCAAGTGTTTGAATAATTTGTTTCGATAAAAAAAGTTATCTGCTTAAGTTTTTTTTTTTTTTTGGTTTGCAATCAAAGAGTATGTCTAAGAAATGGGAGTCATAAATCTCATGATGAGCAACACACGAAATCATGGGCAGGTGGCCTCTAAACCACTGGTTTCAGAGGGTAGTCTCTAGAGCACGGGTCCCAGAGAGTAGCCTCTAAAGCACGGGTCCCAGAGGGTAGCCTCTAGAGCACGGGCCCCAGAGGGTAGCCTCTAAACCACTGGTTTCAGAGGGTAGCCTCTTAGACACGGGACCAGAGAGAAGTATCTAAAGCACGGGTCCCAGAGGGTAGCCTCTAAACCACAGGTCCCAGAGGGTAACATTTAAAGCACAGGTCCCAGAGGGTAGCCTCTAAACCACTGGTTTCAGAGGCTACCCTCATAGACACGGGACCAGAGGGTAGCATCTAAAGCACGGGTCCCAGAGGGTAGCCTCTAAAACACGGGTCCCAGAGGGTAGCCTCTAGAGCACGGGTTCCCAATCTATGAGACTATCGACTAGATTAAAATAGTAGCTATCAGGAACTATGAGAGACTTGTTCTAAGCTAGGGATGTTAAAGACAGCATATTAAGTGAAGTAGATTCTCCATAATTGGGACTCTTTAGGACGGATCCTAATATAGATATTAATAAACATGCAGTAATCGGTATTGTGCTTTACTATCTAAAATGTGCTTTACTATCTAAAATGTGCTTTACTATTCATCTTGTGCTTTACTGTTGATCTTGTAAGCTATACACGGTTGTCCCAACAAGCGTCCGGATAATGCACAACCATATATATATATATATATATATATATATATATATATATATATATATATATATATATATATATATATATATAAATTATACTGTGTGTGTACTGTGTACATGTAATGGCCAACCAACGCGTCGAACAACTTGAATCCA